GAAGGCTTTGCCTACAATGTGCTCACTTTGCATTGCTGCACTTTTTTGTGTCTGGAGCAACTTGAGAAACTGCAAGTTGCTTCAAGTGTGAGGGAATTGGCCATCTGGAAGGACATTGCCCAGAAGACACCCAAATGTCTGATGTTTTGCCATCCTTGTGGGAGGCTTCTCTCATGTCCCTGCATCAGGAGCTGGAGCTGACAGAGGGAGCTCATCCACTCTCTTCCCGGATTCGAACCTCTGACCTGTCGGTCTTCAGTCCTGCCGACACAAGGGTTTAACCCATTGCGCCACCTTGGGCTCCTAATTGTACTAAAAATTAGGCCTATTTTTAATAGTAATTCTCAAGCAATCAGAAACTACATTTATCCAGCATCCAGTGATCTCCATGGATGCTGGTTAACTGAAAGACTACTGTACTTCACAAAAATGACTACACTTTCAAAAATTATCAGAAATTCCAATAACTTGTACACAATTATGCTCGAGGGTTGGGGATGATGGAAGTTGTAGTCCAACACCTCTTGGATTTGTGCAACTTGAACAAGTTGGGATTAGCAGCACATGTACTAGCACCAATTGGGCTATGCATTTTGCTTCTGCGAATCTCGTTGGTCTGATGGGTGTTGTTTTAAACCCCGAGATAATCTGAAAATGTGTTGACAAATGCTATTAAAATCTTTGCAATATCCCCAGAGGAGTAGCATGGAAATGGAAGTGACTAAAGCTAGCACATACTCACACCCTCCCCCAGACCCAGTTTATTTGCCCTTACAGATGGTTCACCGTGCTTGAGCACACAGACACGCAGCTCTTCCCTGGATAAAATGCAACAAGATTTTAGTACTTGTTGAACAGTTGGTGTAACCTAGTTTTCAAGCATTCACTGCTGGCAGCATTGCAGCCATGTGGACCCAGTGGTGTCAGTCTTCATTACGATGCACCCTATGTGAAGGGATTCCATGGCACTGGTGCGCACTGCAGTGTGCTGAAAGATGGCGTATCATCCAGCCCCATCTCACCAGTGAACTGTGACAAATAGGAGCAGGGAGGTTCTGTTGCAACTGCACAAATGGGCTTGCTGGAGGGAATGCCTCATTCACCTAAACCTTTGATTGTGATGCCTGGCTTTTAAGGTGGGTTTAGAGGGGGATTTATGATCATGGCAATGGTCCCATGATCATAATTGTGAATAACAAATGTATGAGGTCATAGGTCTAGTCAGTGGTTCTCAACTTTCCTAATGCCATGACCCCTTAATACAGTTATAGAATCATAGAATCAAAGAGTTGGAAGAGACCTCATGGGCCATCCAGTCCAACCCCCTGCCAAGAAGCAGGAATATTGTATTCAAATCACCCCTGACAGATGGCCATCCAGCCTCTGTTTACAAGCTTCCAAAGAAGGAGCCTCCACCACACGCCGGGGCAGAGAGTTCCACTGCTGAACGGCTCTCACAGTCAGGAAGTTCTTCCTCATGTTCAGATGGAATCTCCTCTCTTGTAGTTTGAAGCCATTGTTCCGCGTCCTAGTCTCCAGGGAAGCAGAAAACAAGCTTGCTCCCTCCTCCCTATGACTTCCCCTCACATATTTATACATGGCTATCATATCCCCTCTCAGCCTTCTCTTCTTCAGGCTAAACATGCCCAGCTCCTTAAGCCACTTCTCATAGGGCTTGTTCTCCAGACCCTTGATCATTTTAGTCGCTCTCCCCTGGACACATTCCAGCTTGTCAATATCTCTCTCGAAATATGAGTTCCTTATGTTGTGGTGACCCCAACTAACTGGTTGAGTTGAGGGGAGAATTGATTTTGTCATTTGAGAGTTGTAGTTGCTGGGAGATTTATAGTTCACCTACAATATCAAAGACAATTCTGAACTCCACCAGTGATGGAATTGAGCCAAACTTTGGACACAGAGCTCCCATGACCAACAGAAAATGCTAGAAGGGTTTGGTGGTTATTGACCTTGGGTTTTAGAGTTGTAGTTCACCTACATCCAGAGAGCACTGATGCATCTGGACCAAACTTGGCATGAATATTCAATATGCCCAAATGTGGACACTGGTGGGTTTTGGGGAAAATAGACCTTGACATTTGGGAGTTGTGGTTGCTGGGATTTATAGTTCACCTATAATCAAAGAGTATTCTGAACTTCACCAATGATAGATTTGGGCCAAACTTCCCACACGGAACTCCCACGAACAAAAGAAAATACTGTGTTTTATAATTGTCTTTGGCGACCCCTTTGACATCCCCTTGCGACCCCCCCAGGGTTCCCGACCCCCAGGTTGAGAAACACTGGTTTATGACATCGCAAATGCTGAAACTGATACCAGTCATGGTTTTGCCTCCATCTATGGATCTCAGGATAAGAACCCCTTCTCTAAAACCATCCAGGGATGAGCTGTTCCTTCTCCTGCTTTTCCCCTACCATCCTCAACCTCCATGCTGCCTGTTGCTCTGTGCACATAATGCTGCGTTGTTTCTAGCTTGTGGAAATGCTACTATTTTTGCACACTTTCGTTCTCCTGCTTGGCAACTCCTCCCACCATTGTGTCCATGGCTGGAGACATGGATATCTTCTGCTAGCCACCACTGTCATTTGGGGCTACCGCAGCAACAGACAGCTCCACGTTGTCATGGAAATCTGCAAAGTTTGGAAGGAAGGGAAAACAAGGCCAATACAGGCTGGTTTAGAGGAGGTCAATAAATGCCAGTCTGCAGGCATGAAAAGGCATTTTCTCCTTTCTCTTGGGTTATTATAGATCTCCAGGGTATTGCCCACTAAGCCAGAGATAGAATCATAGAATCATAAAGTTGGAAGAGACCTCATGGGCCATCCAGTCCAACCACTGCCAAGAAGCAGGAAAATTGCATTCAAAGTACCCCCGACAGATGGCCATCCAGCCTATGTTGAAAAGCTTCCAAAGAAGGAGCCTCTACCACAATCCAGGTCAGAGTTCCACTGCTGAACAGCTCTCACAGTCAGGAAGTTCTTCCTAATGTTCAGATGGAATCTCCTTTCTTGTGGTTTGAAGCCATTGTTCTGTGTCCTAGTCTCCAGGGAAGCAGAAAACAAGCTTGCTCCCTCCTCCCTGTGACTTCCTCTCACATATTTATACATGGCTATCATATCTCCTCTCAGCCTTCTCTTCTTCAGGCTAAACATGCCCAGCTCCTTTAGCCGCTCCTCATAGGGCTTGTTCTCCAGACCCTTGATCATTTTAGTCGCCCTCCTCTGGACACATTCCAGCTTGTCAATATCTCTTTTCAGTTGTGGTGCCCAGAATTGGACATAGTATTCCAGTCTAACCAAGGCAGAATAGAGGGGTAGCATGACTTCCCTGGATCTAGACACTAGACTCCTATACTCCTATTGATGCAGGCCATAATCCCATTCGCTTTTTTTGCCACCGTATCATTGGCTTTTTTTGCCACCGTTGTTTCTAGCTTGTGCAGACACTACTATTTTTGCTCACTTTCATTCTCCTGCTCAACAACTCCTCCCACCTTTGTGTCCATGGCTGGAGACATAGATATCTTCTGCTAGCCACCACTGTCATTTGGGGCTACTGCAGCAACAGACAGCTCCACGTTGTCATGGAAATCTGCAAAGTTTGGAAGGAAGGGAAAACAAGGCCAATACAGGCTGGTTTAGAGGAGGTCAATAAATGCCAGTCTGCAGGCATGGAAGACTATTGTCTTTTCTCCTTTCTCTTGACTTATAATAGATCTCCAGGGTATTGCCCACTAAGCCAGAGATGTGGAACATGTGGTCCTCCAGATGTTTCACCTCTCCCCTGTAGCTGTGCTGGCCATGGCTGGTGAGAGTTCTAGTCTATCCATACCTGGAGATATACATGCACCCAGCCTAAACCAAACACAGCACCAAACATATATTGGAACCACAGCATAGAAAACAAATCTTCTAGGGACTACAGCTTCCAGAATCCTCCAACTAGCCTGTTGACTGAGAGATTTTTCTCCCAAACTAATAATATTTGCAGATTCTGTTTCTTTCCCTTGGACAACCACTTCTGCATGACAATATGATCCCATATTCATGGACCAATATACCTGGTTTCACTTATCCATGGTTTCACTTATTCAGTTATTCACTTAGGACCTTCTATGTAAATAACAACCTCTTCTTGGAACCTCCATTTTTCATCCCATTTAAAATATAGTGATGATGATGATGGTAGTGTATTATGGTAGTAATATTTCCTGGGGTTCAATGGAAAATGATAAATAAAAACTGCTAATTTTTAATTTGTGAGAACTCTTCTCTAGAAATCTCTAGATTTTCCAGCATGACTCTATCTATGGTCACCTTCTGCTTCTGGAGTATTTATAACAGTCATGGACAAACTTGAGCCTTCCAGGTGTTTTGGACTTCAATTTCCACAACTCCTAACAGGCTACTGGTTGTTAGGAACTGTGGAAGTTGAAGTTCGAAACACCTGCTCATGCCTGATCCACAATGCTCTCTAGCTGTAAATCCCTTGTGAAGTGTCCTTGCTAGGAATCTTTAAATCCTCCACCAGAAGTTAACAATAATCCCCTGCTGGAGGGTCAAGAAATTCCTAGAGGCCTTATTAATCAAATCTGTGAATAATCAAGTCTACAAAAGCCAAACCCATGAATGTGAATGGACAACTTTAATAGGGTTAGCTATTATCTACAGCAGTGGTTCTCAACCTGTGGGTCCCCAGATGTTTTGGCCTTCGACTCCCAGAAATCCCAACAGCTGGTAAACTGGCTGGGAATTCTGGGAGTTGTAGGCCAAAACACCTGGGGATCCACAGGTTGAGAACCACTGATCTATAGTTTCACATATTCATGTGAGGTCTGGGTATGCATCTGCTGTGAATACAGATGTTGTACTATAGTTAAAAGTCCCAGATTTTAGTGTGAACTCATCTGTTGCATAAATGAAATCTCTCCTCCATCCAGCAGTAATCTGAATTCTGCTCAGTTTTGCCTTTGCCGTTGCAGAATCCATGATCCTGCTGGGCTCTATCGAGCGCACGCAGATTGTTGCCCTCTTGAACGATCAGCTGAGTTATGCGCGCCGCTTACAATACATGCGGGAGAAGATCCAGGTTGAGCGCAAAGCCACCGAGAAGATTCCAGAAGGCGAGGAGCTGCACCAAACACCTGACACGGGAGTGCGCTTTCAGGTGATGGGAATCTTTCATTTGGAGCAAAACGTCCAAGGAAGTGAGGAACCAAGGAACCTTGAGTATTTTTAAGGGAACACCTGAAGGGTGGCTGGGAAGTGGCAACCAAGCCGTTATGATAACATTGACCAAAGCCTGGTTTCTCATTTTATTCAGTGCTCCATTGTCTTTCCTTCTCTCAATCCAGATCATCACTGAGGAATCTTCATTCGTCCCGCCCCGAAGTGAATCCCGCAAACCCCTCAAGCCAGCTCTGAAACGAGCCCCCAGCACTTTATCTGAGAGTACGTCTTCTGCTTTCTCAACATTAGTCTGAATTAGACCCTAACTCAAACACAGGGAACCCTTTTCAGCTCATGGGCTGAATTCCCAGGATTCGATTCCTTCCTTAGCCATAGAGACCCACGGGGTGACACAGGGTAAGTCACCGACTCCCAGACCCAGAAAACTCAATGATAGGCTCACCTTTGCATCACCATGAGTTGAAAATTACTTGAAGGCACGCAACAACAACCAGGTTTACAGGGGCCATCTTTTACTTATGGACAGGGCCAAAGGTGGGGAAGGGACAATAAGACCAAAATGTCTGGAATGGTTGAATTTAAAGCTCTTTTTCCCAGTAACTAAATCTTAGGTCAGAGCTTTCCAAACATTTCATATTGGTGGCACACTTTTTTTTGCATCATTTTGCAACACAGTAATTTAGTTGTACTAGCAAACCAGTGGTTAAACCAATCACTTATCAGAGATATGGAAACATAAATAAACTGTACACAATAAACTGGACACAAATATATGGGGACACAATATAATTATATTTTTATATATTAAAATACTAGCCATCCCCTGCCATGTGTAGCTGTGGCCCAGTCTGAGTATATGTGTTTTGTGTGTGTATGCGTATATATGTGTATATATTTGTGTATATGTGTATATATGTGAGTCTGTGTATATATGTGGTTTTGCACATGCATTGTAATGTATTTTTTTGTTTTTTGGGTTTTTAAGTCTCTTCTGTTGTGTTGTTCAGTGTTTTTATGAGTGATGGTCACACGTTGGCCTGATAGGTGTATTGTGTCCAAATTTGGTGTCAATTCGTCCAGTGGTTTTTGAGTTCTGTTAATCCCACAAACGAACATTACATTTTATTTATATAGATATAAATAACATACATTAGTATTTTTTTATATAGATTCAGGGGTTTCTTGTTATGTTCACTTGACACACTTCAGCCAACACACTAATGTGTCATGACACACAATTTGGAAAGCTCTGCCTTTATAACTTTTGGAATAAGGAAAATCCTGTTTAGAAGCTGGCAGATGACTTCTAGGAGCCCGTTCACACTGCAGGATTATAGTTCTATGATGCCACTTTAACTGCCATGGTTCCATCCCATGGAATCCTGGCATTTGCAAGCCCCAGGATTCCTTATGATTCAGCCATTGCAGTTAAAGTAGAATCATAGCACTATAATCATGTAATGAGAATGGTCACCAGATGATGGTATCAAGGGCTGCACATTTCTGGAGAACTCCAGAATATTGGATTGAGACTGGAGGTCTGGATTTGGTACCTGGAGACCAGAGGTTTGATGCCATTGCCCAAATTTAGTGGTTCCTAAATATTGGTCTTCCAGATGTTTTGGATTTCAATTCCCAGAAGCTCCAGCCACCTTTCCCAATGGTCAGAAACTATAGGAGATGAAATCCAAAGCATCTGGAGGACCCAAAGTTGTGAACTGCTTCTCTAACTGATGCTTAATGTTTACTCAATCTCTCTTTTCCTCTAACACCCTCCTTTTCTTTTTTCCATTGGCAGCTGGAGCTGTGGATGCTCCAGGCATTGCTTTGCGGAGCCTTTTTTGTGCCAACTCCCCGACGACTGAGTCTGCTGAGGTGAGGCACCCTTTCTCTCCATCCCATCTTGTTGCCATATTTCTGGGCAAAAAACCCCCCAATATATCCTTTCCCTGGGTGACCCTTTACTTTTCCCATTACGTGGCCAGACGTCTTCCTGCCTCTGTCATCCCTCCCTGGTAATCCCTTTCTCTTTTCCCTATTTATTTTGTTTTGTTTCTCCTGGTTTTAAAAAAATAAGGATGAGAATTCGGGCCTGTCTGAAAAGCGCAAGTCGAAGCGCGTCCGCATTTCCGTGGCGGTAAGTGTGGGCTGCGCCACGTCCATCCAGCTCTTCCCAAACAATCAAAGGGGCCAGAAAGCTAACCTGCCCCATAATGTATCCACGGAGGTCTGGGGCTGTGCTGAAGGCTTTTAGGGCTTAAGACTGACCCAAGAGAGTCTGATGACTGAAATGGAAAGAATGTGCCAGTAAAACCAAGCCGAACTGGGAAAATCCATGTCGCAAAATCCAAATTTCATTTTCCCTATTTCTGCTGGCCTCTAATCGAACGCCTGGCCCCAGAGCCAGATCTTCAGTTGTCTTCTAAAGGATAGGAGGGAAGTGGCCAACCTGATATCCTTAGGGAGAGAGTTTCACAGATGTTGTTCAGCCAGTTGCCCGAATGCTTGGTCCCAAAGCCAAGACTTGAGTTTCTTCCTGAAGGTGAGGAGAGAAGGAGTTGTCCTGATTTCACTGGGGAGTGCATTTTACAGACGGGGGCCACCACTGAGAAGGCCCTGTCTCTCATTCCCGCCAATCGAGCTTGTGAGGGTGGCGGGATTGAGAGCAGGGCTTCCCCCAACTATTGTAAACTCCGAGGTGGGTCATAGAAGGAGATACACTCGGACAAGTAAACTGGACTGGAACCGGAATCTTCTAGCATGATTCTGTGGTCAATTTCTGCTGAACATAAAATCACATTGGAGGAACTAGAGACTCCTAGGAAAATGTTCTCTCTAGAAATCTTGAGGTCCTCCGACATGATAGGAGGAAGTTGACCATAGGGTCTTGATGGAAGACCTAGAGATTCCTGCAGAGAATGTCTTTAAACAAATATGTAGATCATCAAATCCACAAAAAACTGCAAATGTCAAGGAACAACGGTACTTGTTTCCTGCAATGCTTCGAACATTCACTTGTGACAATGTATTGTCGAAGGCTTTCATGGCCGGAATCACTGGGTTGTTGTAGGTTTTTCCGGGCTATATGGCCATGTTCTAGAGGCATTTTCTCCTGACGTTTCGCCTGCATCTGTGGCAAGCAAACTCAGAGGTAGTGAGGTCTGTTGGAACGAGGGAAAAGGGGTTTATATATCTATGGAATGACCAGGGTGGGACAAAGGACTCTTGTCTGCTGGAGCTAGGTGTAAAATTCACTTGAGACATTCATCTCCATGAAATCTGTTGATCACTGCCCATTTGGGTTCATCTAACCTTAAGAATGATTGTAGTTTGGGACCACTTTAACTGCCATGGCTCAGTGCTTTGGGAGGTGTAGTTTTCCAAGGTATTTTGCCTTCTCTCCCCAAGGAGGCCCCAGACTTCTCTGTCTCACCAAACTACAAATCCCAGGGTTCCTTAGCATTGAGCTGTGGCGGTTCAAATGGTGTCAAGCTGCATTCATTTGACAATGTATTTGCATCCTTGGATGAGTTTTTAGAATGTGACAATGAAGGAAATAGAATCTCCATGAGAGCTCTTCACTGAAGTATTACCAGCTGGTAGCCATAATAGTGAAGTAGAGTTTCCATGTTCAGATGGATTCTGTCCCCAAATATCTGGTGTTGGGGTGGTTGTTAATTGCTTCATCTTCCATCATGGCTGAAATCACTTGGTTGTTGTAAGTTTTTTCGGGCTATATGGCCATGGTCTAGAGGCATTCTCTCCTGACAGTTTCGCCTGCATCTATGGCAAGCATCCTCAGAGGTAGTGAGGTCTGTTGGAACTAGGAAAAAGGGTTTATATATCTGTGGAATGACCAGGGTGGGACAAAGGACTCTTGTCTGCTCGAGCTAGGTGTGAATGTTTCAACTGACCACCTTGATTAGCATTTGATGGCCTGGCAGTGTTGGGGCAATCTTTTGTTGAGAGGTGATTAGACGTCCCAGATTGTTTCCTCTCTGTTGTTTTGCTGTTGTAATTTTAGAGCACTGCCAGGCCATCAAATGCTAATCAAATGCTAATAAAGGTGGTTTCAACTGACCACCTTGATTAGCATTTGATGGCCTGGCAGTGTTGGGGCAATCTTTTGTTGAGAGGTGATTAGACGTCCCAGATTGTTTCCTCTCTGTTGTTTTGCTGTTGTAATTTTAGAGCACTGCCAGGCCATCAAATGCTAATCAAATGCTAATAAAGGTCATTCGCCCTTAGCTCCAGCAGACAAGAGTTCTTTGTCCCACCCTGGTCATTCCACAGATATATAAACCCTTTTTCCTATTTCCAACAGACCTCACTACCTATGAGGATGCTTGCCATAGATGCAGGCGAAACGTCAGGAGAGAATGCCTCTAGAACATAGCCATATAGCCCGAAAAAACCTACAAAAACCCAGTAATTCCGGCCATGAAAGCCTTCGACAATACATTTTCCAAGGGTGCTTGCATGTCTTTGGTTGGAAGCAGAAGGCTAGGCAAGATGAATCTTGATTACAGTTTTATTTAGTGCTCCTCCTCAGAGAAGTTGGAGAATTTGCATTTCCTTTTGGCAGCTGGCATGCCCAATGCCCTGCTGAGGGATTCTGGAGAGCACAATCCAAAATGTAAAATTCCCAAGCTTTGCTCCTTCCATATGAAGGACTCTTAGAGATTGCTGCATCTTTTTCCCAAGGACTGATGCAATTACCTCGCACTCAAGACCCTTTTTGCCGTGCGACGATGAATCAACCACGAGAGCCTTCAGCACAGCTCGGCCTCTTAATTCTGATTAATCTTTTCTCTTAGTGGCATCCAACCAGCCCACCCCACTTTTCACAAACTAACCAATTTATAGAGTGATCTCTCCTGAAGCAGCCAATCATAGACGATCATTGCCTTCATTCCTGCTTGAAAATGACTTGTCTCCCCGGCTAATTTGCTCTTGTCCTCACCCTTGTAATGAAAACCTGCCGCATTGAAATGATTGGGATGATTCCCTGTCAGCATCTAGAAAAGCTGTGATTTGGACAAGCATTTAGAGGCAGCTGGCAGGTGTTTTTTTTTTTAATATATATATATATTATTTTTGTTCTCTGGGGGTTTTTGGCCACCCGTCCAGAATTTTTATCCGTCTGCAGCATCTGTTGCCACATTTTCCCCGTGAAGCGTTTGAAAAAAAAAAAAGGACTAATCTGATCCATTATTTAGGAGTGGGTGAGCAGGAATCTGCATTGCTGCCAGGATATGTGTTAAAAATGGAAGTTGCTTCAGCAGCCGCACATCTTTGCAATTAAATCTATATTGTGACGCGCTAAGCCAGGCGATGCTGCCGCTAAAACGTTAATGCAGTCTTAAGGGCTGCATTAACAGGAGCCTGGCATCCAGATCACGAGAAATAATAATTCCCCTCCATTCTGCGCTTATCAATGCACTCGGTCCAGTTTTGAACAACACATTTGCAGAAGGACATTGGCAAAACTAGTGCATGCCCAAGAGAAGGGGCTGGAAATGAACCCTGAGAGGAACATTTCTAAAAATTCTGAAAAATCATAGAATCCTTGACTTGGAAGAGACCTCGTAGGCCATCCAGTCCAACCCCATTCTTCCAAGAAGCAGGAAAATCACATTCAAATCACCCTCGACAGATGGCCATCCAGCCTCTGTTTAAAAGCCTCCAAAGAAGGAGCCTCCACCACACTCCAGGGCAGAGGGTTCCACTGCTGAACAGTTCTCACAGTCAGGAAGTTCTTCCTAATGTTCAGGTGGAGCCTCCACCACACTCCAGGGCAGAGAGTTCCACTGCTGAACAGTTCTCACAGTCAGGAAGTTCTTCCTAATGTTCAGGTGGAGCCTCCACCACACTCCAGTGCAGAGAGTTCCACTGCTGAACAGTTCTCACAGTCAGGAAGTTCTTCCTAATGTTCAGGTGGTTTCCTCCAGTTTGAAGCCATTGCTCCAGGACAGCCTGTTCCATGGAAGCAGAAAACAGTTCTTCACAGTCAGGAAGTTCTTCCTAATGTTCAGTGTACCTATTGTATTGTTTTTTGCAATGATCAGTGAAGTTCTCCAAATGTTTCAGAGGAGCCTCCACACACTCCAGGGCAGAGAGTTCCACTGCTGCGTTTTAAAAAGCCTCCAAAGAAGGAGCCTCCACCACACTCCAGGGCAGAGAGTTCCACTGCTGAACAGCTCTCACAGTCAGGAAGTTCTTCCCCATGTTCAGGTGGAATCTCCTTTCCTGTAGTTTGAAACCATTGCTCCATTGCGCCCTAGGTCTCCACGGCATCAGAAAACAAGCTTGCTCCCTCCTCCCTATTTTTTTCTATGTCAGGAGCAACTTGAGAAATTGCAAGTCACATCTAATGTGGGAGAATTGGCCGCCTGCAAGGACATTGCCCTGGAGACACCCAGATGTTTTGATATTTTACCATCCTTGCGGGAGGTTTCTCCCATGTCTCCACATGGGGAGCTTGAGCTGACAGAGGAAGCTCATCCACACTCTTCATGGATTCGAACCTGTCGGTCTTCAGTCCTAACCCATTGTGCCACTGGGGGCTCCCCTTCTCTTCTACAGGCTAAACATGCCCAGCTCTTTAAGCCGCTCCTCATAGGGCTTGTTCTCCAGACCCTTGATCATTTTAGTCACCCTTCTCTGGTCACATTCCAGTTTGTCAACATCTCCCTTCAGTTGCAGTTCCCAGAATTGGACACAGTGTGATTCCAGGTGTGGTCTGACCAAGGCAGAATAGAGAGGGAGCATAACTTCCCTGGATCTAGACAGTAGACTCCTATTGATGCAGGCCAAAATCCCATTGGCTTTTTTAGCTGCCACATGACATTGTTGGCTCATGTTTAACTTGTTGTCCATGAGGACTCCAAGATATTTTCACATGTACTCTTATCGAGCCAGGCATCGTCCCCCATTCTGTATCTTCGCATTGCATTTTTTCTGCAAAGAAAAAGATAAAATTATATAGAGAGAGAAACACAATCTATTAATATCTTAAGGACTGCTATTCAGATAGGAACATACTTGTTCCCTCTTGCTGCAGGGAGCAGCGGTGAGTCTATGTTGCACAGTTAAGCCGTCTGATGTGGCTCTAACTGCTTTGTGTTAGGTTATTCTGAGATTTATAATTTGGTGGGGTATTTAGTCATCTCTAATTCTATGGATATCATAGACTGCTAAAAATTTAAATGGGTACTAAAGAAAATCATGCCTAAATATTCTCTCAAAGCCAAAATCATAGAATCATAGAGTTGGAAGAGACCTCATGGGCCATCCGGTCCAACCCCCTGCCAAGAAGCAGGAAAATTCAAAGCACCCCTGACAGATGGCCATCCAAACTCTGTTTCGAAGCCTCCAAAGGAGGAGCCTCCACCACACTCTGGGGCAGAGAGTGCCACTGCTGAATGGCTCTCACAGTCAGAAAGTTCTTCTTATTATTATTTATTTAAAATTTTTATATGCTGACCTTCTCTAACCTCCGCAGAGGGACTCAGACCGGCTCACAACAGAATTCAATAATAACAATACAATATCAAACATCATAGAATAACAACAAGTTAAAAATACATATAGATTAGATTTACCAATAAGCCAAATCGCCAAGATAAAATCATGTCCAATTCAGTCCATGTGTTTGATCGATAGCTTTTTCTTCCTAATGTTCAGATGGAATCTCCTCTCTTGTAGTTTGAAGCCATTGTTCCTCGTCCTAGTCTCCAGGGAAGCAGAAAACAAGCTTGCTCCCTTCTCCCTGTGACTTCCTCTCACATATTTATACATGGCTATCATGTCTCCTCTCAGCCTTCTCTTCTTCATGCGAAACATGCCCAGCTCTTTAAGCCGCTCCTCATAGGGCTTGTTTTCCAGACCCTTGTGTCTCTGGACACATTCCAGCTGAATGAATAAACCAAAATTGTTATACTTTGTTCATATCATGAAAAGAGATAACTTACTATAGAAGGCAATAAAGCTAGGTGAGTTAGAAATACGAAGGAAAACAGCAAGATTGCATTGTAGATGGAGAGGCTCAGTCAAGGAAATTATTGCTGCCCCGAGTCTGCAAAACCTGCGTCTGCAAAACCCAAATATGGCTGTTGAAGGTGAAATGACTTAGAAGTCTCTTGTTGATAGAACCATAAATCAAAGTCAACTTAATGTCAGAATAAACCACGTAGCTTTGGGACAATTACCAGAAATATTCAGACAATGCACTAACCAACCTGATAAAAACCACCTACTGTATATTCTGGCGTATAAGACTACTTTTTAACCCAAGAAAATCTTCTCAAAAGTCAGGGGTCTTATATGCAGGAGTAGTCTTATGCATGGGAGTCGTCTTATATGCGGGAGTAGTCTTATAGGCCGGGTGCTGAAACTTCCAGTCTGGATTGGAGAATCTGTGGTTGCTGCATATTGTGGGGTAGCTCAAAAATGGCAGTGGCTGTGTCCCTGCCATATGCAGCGACTGTATGAAAGCATTAAGGGCGATGCTGTACAAGTACGGTAGAAGAAAATCCATTCATCAGGATTTGTGGACTTAATGTGGTCCTGATGGTGAGGTGAAGGGGCGCCTCACCGGGAAGGTATAAGTGAAGGGTGGAGCAAGCTGCAGGCGTCCAGGGCACCCAGGGTATGGAAAAAAGAGATAGAGTGGCTCTGGGTCCAGAAAAACACACCTCTTTTGCCTGTCTGGCCCGCCCTTGTATCCTATTACCATACCTCCTCCTCTGCCTCTCAGATCTCGCTCCTGAATACTGCAATGAAGTGGTGCAGGCGCGCATGTGCGAGACCTGAGAGGCAGAGAAGGCGGTACAGTAATAGGAAAATTACCATATTGAATTCAAATCTGATGCTTTTAAAAAATTTTATTTGGTCTGTTGGAAGAGGGGTAGTCTTATACGGCGAGTATATCCCAAACTCTATATTTTAATTGGAAAAGTTAGGGTTCGTCTTATACGCCCAGTCGTCTTATATGCCAGAATATACGGTACTTGTGAGTTTACAGCACCATAAAACAGCCCATACATGGATCCTAACATTGACCCAAGTGTGAACCAGAGACTTCCATTTCTCCTGCCTCTCAAAGTTGGACTGTGGCCCTTTCTCCAGCTGCTTCCCCCAGATATCCAGTATCTCACACTGCTTTCATCAATGGTGAGTGAAGGATGTTGCTGAATTGCTGCTCCCATCTATCTTTGCCAACCATGCCAGGGAATGTTGGCTTTTGTAGTTCAGCAACACGCAGAGCCAGGGCGAAATATATTTGGGAGACTACAGTTCCCAGCATACCTCAGCTAACATGGATTTAGCTTCCTCCTTTCATTCCAGTTGTGTCCACTGTTCCTTCCTCATCCTTCTGTTCTGGCCTGATTGTCCTCTCGTAAGCACCTTCCCTGGAAGACCTTAGTCAATGTGTCTCCATTCTATTTCTCTTTTGCAGGATGAATATGAAGTGGTTGGCGAGATGACCCCCACTGAGGTGAGTCTCATCTGTCACTCCAAAAACCTCTCACCCATTGTCTATAAAGGAACATGTAGATGGGTCTATCCTGTATTGCAAACAGTGTCCTCCTAAAGCAGGTGTAGAAAGCATGTGGCCTGCCAGATCAGTTGCTAAGAGTTGCCTGATATAGGCTAAGTATCCCTTATCCTGGGGTTTAGGTTGGTATGGTGAACTTATTTGTATGTACTTGTAGTCTCCCTTTCCCCACTGCCATCTTACTTTTGAGTCACATCAAAACATTTGCTCAATTGGAATGGTTAATGCAACCTGGGGGCTAGGACCCCTGAGAGGGTTGTGAAGGGGTGTCAGAGGAGTCACCAAAAACCATCAGAATACAAAGTATTTTCTGTTGGTCATGGGGGTTCTGTGTGGGAAGTTTGGCACAATTTAGGATACTCTTTGATTGTAGGAGAACTATAAATTCCAGTAACTAAAACTACCAAATGTCAAGGTCTATTTCCCCCAAACTCGATCAGTGTTTACTTTTGGGCATATTGAGCATTTGTGCCAAGTTTGGTCCAGATCTCTCTCTCATCCAGTGCTCTCTGGATGTAGGTGAACTACAACTCCCAAACTCAAAGTACCCACCAAACCCCTCCAGTATTTTCTGATGGTCATGGGAGTTCAGAGTGCCAAGTTTGGTTCAATTCCATCACTGGTGCAGTTCAGAATGCTCTTTGATTTTAGGTGAACTATAAATCCCAGCAACTACAACTCCCAAATGTCAAGGTCTATTTTCTCCCAAAATTCCACTAGTGTTCACATTTGGGCATATTGAGTATTTGTGCCAAGTTTGACCCAGATCCATCATTGTTTGAGTTCACAGTGCTCTCCAGATGTAGGCGAACTACAACTCCCAAACTCAAGGTCGATGCCCACCAAACCCTTCTAGTGTTTTCTGTTGCTCGTGGGAGTCCTGTGTGCCAAGTTTGGTTCAATTCCATCACTGGTGCAGCTCAATCCATCATTGTTTAAGTTCGCAATGCTCTCTGGAGATGGTGAACTACAACTCCCAAACTCAAGATCAATGCCCACCAAACCCCTCCAGTAATTTCTGTTAGTCATGGAAGTTCTGTGTGCCAAGTTTAGTTCAATTCCATCACTGGTGCAGTTCAGAATGCTCTTTGATTGAAGGTAAACTATAAATGCCAGCAACTACAACTCCCAAATGACAAAAGCAATTTGATACAGCCCATGGAGGCAGGCAGGATGTGGCAGCTTTTCCTGGCCAACCCATTAATCTGGTGTCTTGACTTTCAGATCCTGGAGTGGGAGGAACAGCAGCTTGATCAGTTTGTCAACTTCAACAGCTGCAAAATTGACCCTGCGCCATTCCAGCTGGTGGAACGCACTTCTTTGCACAAGGTAGAAAGAGAGTAGAAATAATCAAGGTCCTCTGATGCTGCACATATACAAGTGCAGGATATGTCATGCAAAACCATTGTAAGGATCCCCAGGGGACATCTAGTCCAACCTCCTGCTAGGGCAGAAAACCTAGCACTGGGTGAGAGGTGGCTATCCAACCCCTGTTTAGAAACCTGCAACAAAGAGGAATCTGCCACCTTCCAATTCCACTGTCAAACAACTCTTATTTTCAGGAAATTCTCCCTAATCTGGATTTCCACTGCTTGACTATCTCAGCTTTCATTTTGTTTGATATTGCTTTATAAAATCTCAAATGCCTAGCTCTCATGGGGATTGTAACAGCTAGGAATAGCATGAGGAGTAGAAAAATGTCTGGAGAAATCCTCAGGGAAGCTTGGCTAAATTGGGATTGCAAAGTGGGCGGCGTAAATCTATGTCTCCCATAATAAGTACAGCAATAGGAACCCCCGGTGGCACAATGGGTTAAATCCTTGTGCTGGCAGGACTAATGACTGACAGGTCAGTGGTTCGAATCCAGGGAGAGCAGGTTGAGCTCCCTCTGTCGGCTCCAGCTCCCAATGTGGGGACATGAGAGAAGCCTTCCACAAGGATGGCAGAACATCAGACATTTGGGTGTCGTTCAGCAGTGGAACTCTCTGCCCCGGAGTGTGGTGGAGGCTCTTTCTTTGGAAGCTTTTAAACAGAGGCTGGATGGCCATCTGTCAGGGGTGATTTGAATGCAATATTCCTGCTTCTTGGCAGAATGGGGTTGGACTGGATGGCCCATGAGGTCTCTTCCAACTCTTTGATTCTATGATTCTGGGCAGTGTCCTTGCAGACAGCCAATTCCCTCACATCAGAAGCAACTTGCAGTTTCTCAAGTCGCTCCGGACACAAAAAAGTACACCAATGCAAAGTGAGCACATTGTAGGCAAAGCCTTCAAGTCTCATAATCAAGACAGGCTGGAATTGTGGTGATCCCTTCTGGGCACCACAACTGAAAGGAGATGTTGACAAGCTGGAATGTGTCCAGAGAAGGGCAACTAAAATGATCAAGGGTCTGGAGAACAAGCCCTATGAGGAGTGGCTTAAAGAGCTGGGCATGTTTAGCCTGAAGAATAGAAGAATGAGAAGAGACATGATAGCCATGTATAAATATGTGAGAGGAAGCCACAGGGAGGAGGGAGCAATCAATGGTATGGTAATACTTGAGTGAAGTCCATTACATATACTATATACCTACTTTTCTCTTCTTGGAATAAATTAAACATGCCAATTAAAACCAAGTCCAAATCTGGGGAAAATCCAATTTTGCAGATATCCTAAGTTTTCTTGCCGGTTGCCACTGTCCACTAATCGAACGCCTGGCCCCAAAGCCAAGTCTTCAGTTGTCCTCTAAAGGACAGGAGGGGTGTCCTTAGGGAGAGTTCCACAGACGGGGGGGCCACTGCCGAAAAGGCCCTGTACGCTGCTCCAGTGAGCAACCTGGCTGCTGACCGTTGGACTAGTTGAAGCTTACAAGAGGTCTTCAAATGCAGCCCCACGTAGAGAGCATTGCAGTAGTCTATTCGGGATGTATCAAGAGCAGAAGTATTGGGGTGTGGGAGCAAAATAGGTTCACCCTGGAGAGATGGATCCTTGCCTTCAGCTCCAAGATTAGAAGGGCTCCAGCATGAAAAATGTCCCTTTCTGGACATCCAACTCCAAGGAGCACCCAATCAACATGAAAAAGAGGATTCTGGAAGTTGTCATTACACAAAAGGAACTTTACCAAACTGCATAAAAAGAGCTGGTTGAATATCATCCAAGTCCGAAGAAGATTAACTTAACACTACATTTGTTTCCCACAGACGCACACCATCTTCTCCCTCCTGGGAGTGGACCATGCCTATGTCACCAGCATCGGGCGCCTTATTGGCATGGTGTCCCTGAAGGAAGTGAGTATCCTTGAGAAAAGGGGTTGCTCCCCTGTTGTTGTGATGTAATTATCACAAATGCGTGAGTTTAGGTTTGACCCCTTCCCTTCCATCAGTTTTTTTACATTAATTAAGAAGGAAAAAAATGTGGAGGGAGGTGGATACTTCTTTGAATTGCAATTCCCATAATTACCCAGCTAGCATGGCTGGTTTGTTCTTAGGAGACCCTATAAAGTGTAATATCAGACTCCCTGATAGTTCGGCTTGTCCTGTATAGACTGTTCCACCTTTACATTGGTGGAGAGTGTCTCACTTCATGGTGCAACGAAGTTCATTTTGATTATAGTGCAGAGATATCATCTGTGGCACTCGCCATGTTATCATTTCATTGCAGTCAGGTAGGCTACCAGTACAGAGTGTTTTGGATGGCAATTGAATACTTACTGTATATACTCAAGTGTAAGCCTAGTTTTTCAGCCCTTTTTTAGGCTGAAAAAAATCCCCTTTGGCTTATACTCGAGTCAAGGTTATTTATTATTTTACTCTATTATTATTATTATTATCATTATCATTATTATTATTATCATTATTATCATTATTATTTGAAGCACAACAAGATGAGTCCACGGCAGACACTCTGCTGGCTGTTGTATTGGATCACACGTCGGACACTTCCCAAGTGTCTAGGATTGTGTGATGTATCGCCAAATAATCCGTGCAGATCCCAGTAAGGTGGCCTTTTGCAGCTGGCAGGTGGTAATCTTGTCAGCGCCGATTGTGTTTAAGTGCAGGCCAAGGTCTTTAGGCACTGCACCCAGTGTGCCGATCACCACTGGGACCACCTTGACTGGCTTGTGCCAGAGTCTTTGCAGTTCGATCTTTAAATCCTCATATCATGTCAGCTTTTCCAGTTGTTTTTCTTCAATCCTGCTGTCGCAAACCGGAAGTCCCAGAGGAGTTTGCCGTGTTCATTCTCTGTAACTTTTTCCGGCTTGTGATCCCACCAGTTCTTTGCCACAGGCAGATGGTATTTGTGGCACAAGTTCCAATGAATCATCTGAGTAACGGTGTTATGCCTCTGCTTGTAGTCTGTCTGCGATCTTCTTGCAGCAGCTGAGATGTATTTTCTCTTATTATTATTATTATATTATTATTATTTTATTACATTTATCTTTTTACTCTATTATTATATTATTATTTTACTCTATTTATTATTATTATTATTTATTATTATTTTACTCTATTATTACTGTTATTATTATTTATTATTATTATTATTATTATTTTACTGACACAAAACACAGTTATGTCACAGCAAATGAGATCTCTATGCTGGATTTCATATCACAAATTCATATTATTATGATGATGATGATGATTATTATTATTATTACTACATTTATTATTTTACTCTATTATTATTGGAAGGATACATAAGCATATTTACATTAAAGAAGGTTAGAACAATGGTTTAATCAGAGTTGGTCAGTCTTCTCTTAAATTACAGTTTTATGTAAGTATTCGACAACATTTAACCTACTGGTGCCTCAATTAATGTAATTTTATTGGTATCTATTTTTATTTTGAAATTTACCAGTAGCTGCTGCATTCCCACCCCCCACCCCTTATACTCAAGTCAATTCGTTTTCCCAGTTTTTTGTGGTAAAATTAGGTGTCTTGCCTTATATTCGAGTCGGCTTATACTCGAGTATGCTGTACCTCTGTCCCACAGATTGTTAATGTCACCACTTTCCCCTTAGTTTTGAAGACATATTTTGAATTATTTTTTTCATCAGTTGTAGCTATTGTTTTTGTTGTCTTTGTTATATACCACTTGGAAATAGGCAATATTGCTTTATACCATGAGCCTCCATAAAAATATACATTCCAACTTTGCGTAGGATGCAGCCACAATAAGTCAAAATTACCGTATATACTCGAGTATAAGCCGACCCGAATATAAGCCGAGGCACCTAACTTTACCATAAGGAACTGGGAAAATGTATTGATTCAAGTATAAGCCGAGGGTGGGAAATGCAGATGCTACTGATAATCATCAGTAGGTTAAATGTTTTTGTGTATTTACATAAAGCTGTAATTTAAGATAAGACTGTCCAGCTGTCCAAACCATTATGCTAACCTTCCTCAATGTAAATGTGCTTACGTATCCTTCCGATAATAATAAAGAGAGTAAAATAATAAATGTAATAATAATAATAATAATACATAGAATAAAGTAATAAATGTAATAAAAATAATAGTACAGTAAAATAATGTAAAGGTAATAATAATGCATAGAGTAAAATAATAAATGTAATAATAATAATAGTAATAATAATAGAGTAAATAATGGAAATTTAATAACAGTAATAGAGTAAAATAATAAATGTAATAATAATAGTAGTAGTAATAATAATAATAATAGAGTAAATAATGGAAATTTAATAACAGTAATAGAGTAAAATAATAAATGTAATAATAATAGTAATAATAATAATAATAATAATAGAGTAAATAATGGAAATTTAATAACAGTAATAGAGTAAAATAATAAATGTAATAATAATAATAATAATAATAATAATAAGAGTAAATAATGGAAATTTAATAACAGTAATAGAGTAAAATAATAAATGTAATAATAATAATAGAATGTAATAATAATAATAATAATAATAATAGAGTAAATAATGGAAATTTAATAACAGTAATAGAGTAAAATAATAAATGTAATAATAATAATAATAATAATAATAGAGTCAATAATGGAAATTTAATAACAGTAATAGAGTAAAATAATAAATGTACTAAAAATAATACTAATAACATAGTAAAATAATAAATAACCTTGACTCGAGTATAAGCCGAGGGGAACCTTTTTAGCCTAAAAAAGGGGCTGAAAAACTAGGCTTATACTCGAGTATATACAGTATATTGAAGTTCTATAATTATACAGTGTGAATGAGACTGGGGTCCTAATGGCCTCCCTCATCCCATCCCTTTTGCTCTTTCCCTTCCCTCCAGCTGCGAAAAGCCATTGAGGGCTCAGTCACAGCCAAGGGCGTGAAGGTCCGTCCTCCGCTGGCCAGCTTCCGTGACAGCACCACCAGCAGCAGTGAGACGGAGGCCACCGAAATCCACCAGCTGTGGGACCGGCGGCACCGGCACTCCATCCCCCGCGAGTCCAGCCCTTCCGAAAGCGACGACAAGTGCCAATGACGGTGGCGGAAGAGGACGTGCAGAGTATCGGTGGATATGATAGGTCTACGTTGATGACCAACCCCTCCCATGAGCTGCTTTGTTCCAGCCCAAACCCACGTGGAAGGTGGGGGTGGCAGTGCCTTGCTCAGCATTCCAACCCAGAGTCCTGGGACCTCAAACACATGCTTTCCAGAAGCCTCTGGATGAGAAAAGAGACTTAAGGCCAAGTCTCGGGAAGTAAGCAATGGGATTGAACCCCAGTCCAAAGCCTGGAGGTTGTCCCCTTTCCTGTCCATGGTTGGAAAGTGTGGAAGGAGCAGAACACATTCCTGCTGTGGAAAGCTTCAAGATTCCCTGTGAAGAGCCCTATCCATGTCACTGGGGTTCAAGTCTCCAAAGGAGTCTCCACTTCTCTGTCCTGCCCACTGGATGCTGAAGACGTCACACCTGTCCCCATATTGTGGGGCTGTGCTTTCTTCCATCGCACATCCTGGCGGCCTTTTTGATCTTGCCCTTTGATCTCGGGGCTTGCTCATTCCACACTATTTTTCCTTACTACTTTGTAAGCCTATTTTTCCAGCAAGCTCTGCTATGGGGCAAAACCTTCAAAAAGAGGGGAAGCTAACCATGTGAAGAGCGTGAGGTGGCTTTCTTGGTGAAAATCTTTTCCTAACGAAAAGGGCGTGCGGTGCTTCTTACTTGGAGCAGACCACCTTTGGGCTTAGTCTGGTCCTATCCTTTAGTACGGCTTTTGCCAATCTGCTGTGCCGTGGGTGTTCTGGACTATAGGTCACATCATCCCTTGCCGTTGGGGCACTTGGGTTCAATATTCCTGAATGGTACACAAAGCAAAGCTTGGGGACGTCTCTCTTATTTTTGGACTCCAGCTCCCAGAATCCCACTATCCTGCACAGGGATTCAGAGCATTATAATCCAGAAATGTAACGTGCCCCAAATTCCGCTCTGCTATATGGCTGCCTTAGTCCTTCCCCAACCCCATTGCCTTACCATGATGTATTTGGCATGCAGTCAATGGTTCATGGCTCTCTGATTTGGGAAGGGGCTTTCCTGCTAAATAATGGGCATGTCACCATCCTGCCCATTCTTATGAATGAATAGTGTGTGGGTATAAATTAAGTTGAACACTGGATCTCTTTAACTACTGAGCCTTGGGCAGCCTTTTCTTCACCCAGCCATCCTCAACGACAAATAAAGACTCTGAACGACTGTCCCTTCCCTACTCCTCTGCGTGGGGCCCACCCTATGCTTGAATCCAGGGGTGGGGAGAGGAAAGTGGGGATGGCACCTGAATTGTAAATACAGAGCATTTTTATATTAATTTAATAAAAGAAAGAGATTGCAAATAGAATGGTCAAAGAAACAACCCAACGAGTGTCTGGCGTCTTCCTAAATCACACAGTCCTGCTGGGACCTTGGACCAGTTTCCTTTGGGAAGGGCATGGATTAGGAACTCATACTGGGATTGCATTGTTGTGAGTTTTCCGAGCTGTATGGTCATGTTCCCGAAGCATTCTCTCCTGATGTTTCACCTGCATCTATGGAGCCCCCGGTGGCGCAGTGGGTTAAACCCCTGTGCCGGCAGGACTGAAGACCAACAGGTCACAGGTTCAAATCCAGGGAGGGGCGGATGAGCTCCCTCTATCAGCTCCAGCTTCTCATGCGGGGACATGAGAGAAGCCTCCCACAAGGATGATAAAAACATCAAATCATCCAGGCGTCCCCTGGCCAACGTCCTTGCACACAGCCAATTCTCTCACAACAGAAGCGACTTGCAATTTATCAAGTCACTCCTGACACAACAAAAAAAAAAACCCTGCATCTATGGCAAGCATCCTCAGAGGTTGTGACGTCTGTTGGGAACTAGGAAAACGGGGTTTATCTATCTGTGGAATGTTCCAGTGGGAGAAAAAACTCTTCCCACAAAGGTCCCAACAAAGCCATTTAAATCCACAATCTTGTGGACAATTCCATCAGAAAGGAAGAAACCCTGAAAATGAACAAAATCTAGCTACTAGTACTAAAAATCTCTAAAATTGTAACAGTAAATAAAGAACAACACTCAAAAATGGAAATTCCAGACAAGAAGCAATCAGGGCCAGCTAATCACCACCCAAAGGATTCCCCAAGGAAGTAAGAAGCTACACCTTGAAACTGCTAGGCCATTAAATTCTAATCAAGGTGGACATTTGAAACATTCACATCTACCTCAAACAGGCAAGAGTTCTTTCTCCCACCCAGGACATTATTCCACAGATAGATAAACTCCATTTTCCTAGTTTCCAACAGACCTCACAACGTATTGTTAAAGGCTTTCATGGCCGGAATCACTGGGTTGTTGTAGGTTTTTTCGAGCTATATGGCCATGGTCTAGAAGCATAATCTCCTGACGTTTCATCTGCATCTATGGCAAGCTTCCTCAGAGGCAGTGAGGTCTGTTGGAACTAGGAAAAAGGGTTTATATATCTTGCCATAGATGCAGGCAAAATGTCAGGAGGGAATGCCTCTAGACCATGGCCATATAGCCCAAAAATCCTACAGCAACCCAGACCTCACAACCTCTGAGGATACCTGCCATAGATGCAGGTGAAACGTCAGAAGAGAATGCTTTGGGAACAGGGCCATACAGCCTGGAAAACTCACAACAACCCAGTAATTCCAGCCATGAAAGCCTTCTACAACACATCGTTCTGGGATTGTCTGGTATCTTCCAAAGGATCTTCTCACATGTTGGTGGCAAACCAACATAATCACAGGACATCATTGCTGCAGACTCACTCCTCAATATGGTACCTTTCAAATATTTAAACATGGCTATCATGTCCCCATCTTCTCTTCTCCAAGCTCAACATACCCAATACCCTCAGCCACTCCTCATAGGGCTTGCCTTCCACACCTTTGAACATTTCTGTTGTCCTTTTCTAAGACACCTTTCAGCTTGTCAATGTCCTCCTTGAATTGGGGTGCTCAGAACTGGACACAGTGTTATTCCAGGTGAGGTATGATCAAGGAAGAATAAAGTGGGACTATGACTTCCCTTGATTTTGACACTACTATTGATGCAGCCTAGAACTGCATTCACTCTTTTCGCTGCTGTATCACACTGTTGGCTCATATTCAGCTTATAATCTATTAAGGTTGCTAAATCCTTTTCATGTGTACTGATTTCAAACCAGATGTCACCCATCCAATATCTATTTCAGGTTTTTTCCTGCCTAAGTAAGTGTGGCTCCTGCTGTACCTCCTGATCTGACCTCGGTTCAGCCCAGAGAAGGACTTTGAGGTGACTTTGCTGCTTAATGAGGTACATGGTGCGGAAAAAAAATATCACAGATTCATAGAACTGTAGAGTTGGAAGAGACCACAAGGCCATCCAGTCCAACCTTGCCATGCAGGAACACATAATCAGAGCACTCCTGACATGACCATACAGCTTCTGTTCAAAAACATCTAGAGAAGGGGACTCCACCAGACTCTCAGGTAGAATATTCCCAGTCGACCAGCAATTGCCATCAGGAAGTTGTTTACCTAACATTTAGGTGGATTCTTTTCTTGTAATTTGAATCCTAGTTGTTGAAGGCTTTCATGGCTGGAATTGCTGGGTTGCTGTGAGTTTTCCGGGCTGTATGACCATGTTCCAGAAGCATTCTCTCCTGATGTTTTGCCCACATCTATGGCAGGCATCCTCAGAGGTTGAAGGATCTGTTGAAAACTAGGCAAGTGAGGTTTATATATCTGTGGAATGTCCAGGGAGGGAGAAATAACCCTTTTCTGGGTTGTAGGTTTTTTGGGCTGTATGGCCATGTTCTAGAAGCCTTGTCTCCTGATGTTTCACCTGCATCTATGGCAAGCATCTTCTGAGGATGCTTGCAGACAAAATGTCAGGAGAGAATGCTTCTATAACATGGTGATGTAGCCCAAAAACCTACAACAACCCAGTGATTCCAGCCATGAAAGCCTTCGACAACTCTTTTCTGCTTGACCACCAAGCACAGCTCCCGAATGCAAATCAAGGAACATGAAAGGCACTGCAGACTAATTCAACCAGAGAAGTCAGCACCTGCCAAACCAATCTGGACACAGCATTTTTTGAGAAGACAGAAATGCTGGACCTTCTCTGTGTAGTCTGACTCATGTCAGACTACACAGAGAAGCCATTGAAATCCACAAGCATGTGTACAATTTCAACAGAAATGAAGAAACCATGAAAATAAACAAAATCTGGCTCTTAGTATTGAAAAACTCTAAAATCAGGAAAATAAATAAAGAGCAACACTCAAAAAGCATGGGAATTCCAGACAAGACTCAATCAGGGCCAGGTAACATTTCCAAACAAAGGATTCCCCCAGACAGCAATCAGACAGGCTTTGAACCTGCAAGGCCATTAAATGCTAATCAAGGTGGCCAATTGCAACAGTTAAACTTGCATGAACACAGAGAAAAGATCTCTCTACCACCCAGGACATTCTACAAATACATAAGTCCCACTTGCCTGGTTTCCAACAGTCCTCACAACCTCTGAGAATGCCTGCCATAGATGTAGGCGAAACGTCAGGAGAGAATGCTTCTGGAACATGGCCATATAGTCTGGAAAACTCACAGCAACTCAGTGAATCCTAGTTTCTGCACCAGCAGAAAACAAACTTGCACCTTCTTCAATATGATAGCCTTTCAAATATTTAAACATGAGTTTTCTCTTAATCTCTCTTCTCTAGGCTAACCATACCCATCTCTTTAAGCTGCTCCTCATAGAGCTTGGCTTCCAGACCTTTCACCACTTTGGTCACCGTATTGTCGAAGGCTTTGGTCACCCTTCTTGACATGTTCCAGCTTGTCAATATCCTTTTCAAATTGTGGTGCCAAGAACTTGACCAATACAGAATAGAGTGATACTATGACTCCCCACAATCTAGATAGTATAAGCCTATTGATGTAGCTTAGAATCACATTGGCTTTTCAACATGCCACATCCCATTGTAACCAAGAGAGGCCAAATGTATGGCATCTTTTCCTGGACACAATCAAAAACCGCACGCCGGTGGCAAGAACATAGGCTGTAGTTTAAGGGTGGGCAACTATTGGCCTTCAAGGTTTTGGACTACCATTTGGAATGTCCTTGGCCATTAAGGTTGCCGGGTCTCAGGGCTTGGTCTTGAGACTACATTTTTCAGGGAGACATTGAAGCATTTTTTTTCTAGTGTGTTGACATCCAGGCAAGAAGTAAGGATTGTGTGCAGTTGCTTGTCTCAGCAAAATATTCAGTGGTTTGAATATGGAAGTTCAATGTTCTACTTTGCACCTTTCAAAAGCAGTATAAATTATGCAAAATAAACAGTTACAACTCAATGTCAAAGCACTTACATTTATGCAGGTAGCAATGTGGTCATTCTTCCTTGAAGAAGAATAGTGAGGTTTTTTTGCGTATACACAACGCAAGCCAGTCACGGTTTGAGTGTTGGAGTAGGACTCCTGGAAACCAAAAATGAGATTCCAGCTCAGTGGGATCCCAGTTATGGGAACCCACTGAATCACCTTGAGCAGGTCACACACTCTCAGCCTCAGAGGAAGGCAATGGCAAGCCTCCTCTGAACAAATTTTGTCAAGAAAATCCTATGGTAGGGTCACCCTGAGCAGAAATCAATTTAAATACCACTCACATCCAGGTATGTCACTTATATGCCATCTTAGTGGCAACAAGGAAACTCTTCCCATGTTTATAGGCACTCTGTCCCTTGAATTTGGGAGTTGTAGTTCACCTGCATCCAGAGAGCACTGTGGACTCAAACAATGATGGATCTGGACCAAACTTGGCAAGAATACTCAGTATGCCCAAATGTGAACACTGGTGAAGTTTGGGGGAAATAGACCTTGACATTTAGGAGTTGTAGTTGCTGGGATGTATAGTTCACCTACACTCAAAGAGCATTCTGAACCCCACCAATGATAGAATTGGGCCAAATTTCCCACACAGAACCCCCATGACAAACAGAAAATATTGATGGTCTTTAGCAACCTCTCTGACACCCCCTTGCGACCCCCCCCCCCAGGGGTCCCGACCTCCAGGTTGAGAAACCGTTTTAGCATATATAATGTTTGATTCTTCAATGTGAACAACCTCTGAATGAAAGTATTTGCCTCATGAAAGTGTTTTTCTTTTATTCATCCATTCAGCTTTCCTTTTAAAAACAATGATATCATATTGCTCATGAACTGCCAGAGCAGGTCCACACTGACTTGGTGATGTGTTTAGGAGAGTTCTGGGATTTGTAGTCCAAAACAAATTTCCCCAAGGCCTGCCCAATCCTTGGGCACTTTTCTCAGTATCGGTCTTCCTTCTCTGAAGGATTCTCTTCCTAATTGTCTCTA